GTGCTTCAATGTAAATGTGTCCTGGACTTTGGTTCAAATGTACCCCTGGGAAAATTCTCTTACTGTATATTAACATTAGCAAGCAATTCTGGCATAGTTTCTGCTGTAATAAAAATTTAATCGACATACTTATGGTGTCTGGTTAATCATTTAATATTTCCTGAATATTAAAGAAAAAACTTGTGGAGAGTTGGGGTAAAACTGTGTAGACATACTGCTAGTCATAAAAGGTGAATGCTGCTAGTGGTTGACTTTTGTTGATAACTGGAATTCCCCAGAAGCCATTAGCTAAATCAGAAGTTGTTTTCTATCACCTGTTTGGCATACTGTCTAGGATAGCTGCAGAACTGATTAACTGTGCTGCATAAGCTTTTGATGCTTGGTTCAGAATTCTATAATTAATAATCCTATAAATCTTTCCATTAGGTTCTGGGACTGCCACAATTGGACTGAATTATATTCAGATGAAGTCCCAACAATTATTCCTTATTTTATCTTTTGTCAAATAATTTGAGTCAGCTGGTCTCTATGGTGACCAGCTACAGAATATTCTTTTGGGGGTTGGAGATTTTTTTTTTTTAATCTGTATGTCAGAAGGTTTCAATTTGTTGTCAAAACTTGCATGGTTTTTTATTGTTCCTGACTTCTGGTGGAGGTATGGCGAACTAAAGATGTCTCTTACAGAGATGGAGATGATGGCTATGGAAAAAGACGAACTGGTGAGTAGACCGGTTCTTCAGAACCTCTCCAGATAAAGAGAGGATGGGAAATCATTTACATGTGCTCTGGACAGCTGTTCCTCACGAGGAGACCACAAGATAGCAGTCTCTGGAGGTTTGAGAGCCAGGAGACGAAGGGATCAGCTATCATGCTCACAACCACGGCACAGCCTTTTGAAGAACACTGACTTCGCAATCCTCACTTTCTAATCATTTTGGAAATTGCTTATTTACTATTCTAAGGCTATTAGAGATCTTCAGAATGAGACTTTGAAAAACCACCTGGTGAGTTTACCTTTCTTCTTGAACAAAAGAAAAATTAATTATAAGTTTAAGAATTTAAAGAATTGGAATTAAACAGCAAAAAGCTAAATAAGATTTTGATTTAAGAAAGTTATAAATGAATTAAAGGTCCGGACAATTTTGGAACATTGAGACTTTTACTATAATTACATAAATTAATTTAATTTTAATTAAATAAAATAACATTTTGTGGGAACCAGAATGTTCTGTCTATCTTAAATCAAAACTGAAATTGGAGACTTTATGATTTCAGAAATTGGACACTAGAGGGAACTAAAGATTCCAGGTAGAAAAGGAAAAAAAAAGTGTAAATGTGTTTGGTTTTTGATTAGTATGGGGATTTACAAAATGACACAAAATTAGAAATACTTCAGGAGATGTTCGAAGAATGGGACCAGACATTAGTAGCTACAATATCAGAAATGCCAGCAATGATGTCTGCTTCTATGGATAGACTATGTTCGAAAGATGTTAAATCTGATGCAGAAATACTAGAACCAGAAATACTGGATAATAAAGAAGTGTAGATTACAAGATAGAGGAGGCAGTTAAGGCAGAAATAGAAATGACAAACCAAGAGAATGACCCTGATAAGGACTTTTTACTGGATATACAAAAGAAGCTGGTTAAAGCTTTGAAAATCAAAGTGGAAATACAAATGACAAATCAAGGCAATGACCTGGATAATGACTTTTTACTGGATATACAAAAGAAGCTGGTTAAAGCTTTGAAAATCAAAGTGGAAATACAAATGACAAATCAAGGCAATGACCTGGATAATGACTTTTTACTGGATATACAAAAGAAGCTGGTTAAAGCTTTGAAAATCAAAGTGGAAATACAAATGACAAATCAAGGCAATGACCTGGATAATGACTTTTTACTGGATTTACAAAAGAGGTTTGATAAAGCCTCGAAGAAGCCTCAGCAAGGGGAAAAAGAAAAATTGAAGAGAGACCAAATCCTATGACAACATCTGAATGAATTAAAGATTAAGATTGTTAGAAGTA